CCCTCCCCCTCCTCCACCACCTTCTTCTATTCTGCGATCCGCTAACGTTACTTATAACGTTACTATATTATGTATGCAACGAAAAGAACAAGAAGTGTATACCTAAACAATAAATGTTAATGCCAGCGTGTGTATGTGTGTGTGTGTGTGTGTGTGCGTAATAACATACTTGCATATATTTACACATTTGAACTTATAGACTCATATTTTCATTGCAATCACTCTTGTACAATGCGCAGCAAAATCATTGCAATTTCCTGTCGCAATAAAATTTTGAGATCCCTTTGCATACGCTCCGAACTGCTTTGCAGGCCGGGCTTTGGATATAAGTGCATTCGCATTCGATTCTTAAATAAAAATAAACTAATGATAGATACGGCCTTAGAGAAACAAACAACACAATTCCAAAATGAAAATTTGAATTTTTATATCCATCAACGGTAACGGAACAGTCCGCTGATATTTGGTTTAGAGCTACCATTGGAGAACCATAAGAGTACATCAGATGTGTGTTTTAAATTTTAACACAAGAACTATTTATTAGAGATTCCGTAGAGTAAATGTTAAGTATCGAATGCTGACATTTGCATCGGTCCGTTGCTCCGTTTACCTCTTCCTACCTTCTGTTGCAGCATCCATGCGATGCGAGTACGTCGGATGTGTGCTTCAGATTTTAATACAAGAATCATTCGTTAGTGATTCCGTAGAGTAAATGTAAAGTTTCGAATGCTGACAGTTGTATTGGCCCGTTGCAGCATCCATGGATGCGAGATGCGACATCAGATGTGTCTTTCAAATTTTAATACAAGAACCATTCGTTAGTGATTCCGTAGTGCATAATTACAATATTGAATGCTTACAGTTACATTGGTCCGTCTCTCCGCTCACTTGTCTTATTACTCTTCGACAACCACAGTCGTAAAAATGCAATAAAATTTTATTATTATTATTATTATTAGTTTAGCCAGAACTATAGAAGAAATTCGAAGCCTAAAGTTTTCGCTTCTTTTTTTCTTTTTTTTTTAATTTTAACTTGATCCATTTGCTCATAGTTTGAGTATAAATTTGAATTTTAATCCTTTCTGAACGAAACATCCTAATAACCAAATCGAAAATATCAATATATTTCATAGTCATACTCGTTGCCAAAAAAAAAAAAAAAAAAAAAAAAAATGTTTTGGTATTTTGAACAGAATAAGCTTCGCATTCCATCCATATCCATTCCGCATTTGTGATTGAAATTTTTAAAAAGGTCGAAAATAAAAAGATTATGGTAAACACGGTATACACACGGCATTCTTGAGTTTGAAAGTTATTGTAATTTGTTCGCTTAAGCACGCTTGGCTTTATGTTAAAAATCTTGGAAAACATATCGAACTTAAAATCGGATATAATTATTTAAAGTTCGTATAGTGTAAACATAGCTTATCTATTCAAATGCCCTATTAGGTGGATGGATGGGGCGCTAATGAAAAATTTTACCACCATGCCCATATAATTGTATCGTTTATTTTCTTCTTCTTATCAATATTTTCATATAAAGTTTACATATAAAAATGTAATTTTATCGGAAAAATTTCTATTGTTTCGTTATCAACTGTATGCGTGCATAGATATATACATTTACTATATATCTGCTTACGTATATTTGACTATTCTCACTTTTGATTCTTCGTTCTTTAGTTCTTCATTCTCCTCTATAAGCATTTACGCGGCCCAGTGAATACATTCAAGCACTCTCTAAATAACATATATAGAATACAAGCATAGCAGGCTTCTACATGTGTACACACATATAAATATCTGGAGCGCGTAATAATGTTTATTTGTTTACATTGCCGCGTAGATTGTTGACGATTGTTACCCATACGAAATGATTCTTTTGTATACCGCAAATAGTTTATCTTCGACTCGTGTCGAAGTAAAAAGCTTTATATAGTCGTTAGCTAGTCAAAGTCAGGGGTTGTAGTTCATATATATATATATATATATCTATATATATATATAAATAAATCGCATTATTTTGCGTATTTTTTTTTTTTTTTTTATTTTCCTTTAAACGTTCGTTAATAATGTTTGTTTACAAACACTTACAGGATCGTTTTAACGTAAGAATAACTTATATTTCATATAACATATATATATATATATATATATATATATATTATATTAGGATTCTTGCGGGCATACATTGATTGCTCTTATTAAATGACTTGTGTTTCTCTTGCAGATGACGCGTTACAAACAGACTGAATTCTCTGAGGAGGATAGCAGCTCCATTGGGGGTGTGCAATTAAATGAGCCCTCCAGCAGCACCGGCATGCAGATACGTTATCACACGGCTCGGGTAAGAAAATATACAGCATATAACAAACCTGATAAACATTTGCAATATCAGTCTGCGAAATAAACTAAATTAAATTTTTCATTGAAACATAAATGAAAATTATATCAAATTATTTTTATTATACTGCATATTGTCATTTGCTTCGTTAATTGAATAACAATGTAGGGTGTTTTCGTTATTATCATTATTATAAACATGCTATCATGTCTTATACACTTACATTATATATAGACGTATCACTGCAATCTTGATTATTTAAGCTTGCTTTATAGCATTTCTCAAATTTATTTATTAGTAATACGCGGCTTTTGCTGCAATTTTCACTTACGCTAGTTGAACGAACGAATGGCTTCAGCTAATGCTTTTGAAATTGGCGCTCATTTATTGTGCTATTGAAAAAATTTTTAAACGAAATGAAAACAAAAAAAAAATTCGAATTTAAAATTTTTGTTTAAAAAGCTGCTCTCTTCAGAAGGAATCAAAATTTGGAAAAGTCATTTCAATTCCTTTGAACTCTTGGACCTACGGGAGGAACGATTTGATTTATTTCTTTTCTTTCAAATTTTTTAACGGCCTAATCATTCAGTATAAAATTCAAACTAAATGTGGACTTCTGAATAAGGGCAATTGGATGAGTCTCTGTCACGATAGTAAACGGTACGATGGCTACCAAGACAAATCAAAGACGTTGTAATCTTGTCATGATGAACAATTTCATTACGGTATCGCCATAATTTTCTGAATCAATCTTAGCTTGTCTGTCCGTCTACATGTGCGATGTCTATTATGCACTTTTGTGTTCGACCTATAGGTCGTAAACTTTGAGATATATAGATGAAATTGGTACGCCGACGTGTTTTTACCCAGGAAAGAACTCTATTGAAAAAGTTTCGGATCGGACCACCACTACCATTTTAGATCACTTCTCCTGTAATAACTTATTAGGGAAATTATTGCAACTCTCAACATTTTTCGTTAGACCTCACTGAGCAATAGTACTTCGACAGACTTAATTGGTATGAAATATTTGGTGCGTCAAAGCCAATTTTTTGGACCTCCTCACCCACTCATATAAGCGTTCCTATGAAAACTGCATCTGTATAAGACAAAAAGTTCTCATTTTCAATATTTCATGATGAAATGATAAACAGACAAAGAAATCAACCGTAGCGAGTTTGGACCATGTACATCTATTTTCTGGAATTTATTAGCTTTGGATCGGATAAATGGCAATTTTCTAAACTCTTTGCCATCTAACTATTCCTAAGGAAGTTCAATACGCATTATAGGTAAAAAGGCCTTATTTTCAATACAACTTGATGAGAATACGTTTTAGTAATTTAGTTCAAATTTCTTCATCTCAACCTATTAAAGTGTCTAAGGAAAAATAAGACTTTATATGCCAAAATGGTCTAATTTTGAATATTTTATAATGGAAATTTATCCTTATGAATCCGACCATGGAGAATTTGAATCACGTAGTTGAAAATTGGTTAACTAGGAAATCACTACAGCAACGCCGTATTCTGAATTTCGATTCACTTCAAAATGAAAGTAAATTAGTTTACTTTACGGATCGCCAAGAACGTACAGATATTCTGCAAAATGATATATAACTCATGGGCAATGCTTAAGTTGTCATCAGTAGAAATTGCTGCAACTGTAAATTGAGTCATCCATTTTAATATATTGTTGAAAAAGACAAAGTTCATAAGTAGAATACTAACGCAAGAAAATGAGTATTAAGATTTTTTCCAATAAAGAGCAAGAAATAAATTATAGGTTAGATCGAAATATCTCTATACTCAATCGCATCAGATATGTGTTATAAAGTAATAAGCGATCACGGGGGATCGCCATAGGAAAGCCAAAGCGAGCTATTGGAAATGAGAGCTACACTGGAAAATATCATAGGACATCTTTGTTTTAATATCTACTCTTTGGCACGATAGTCATTATCGAAGGCCAGATAAGTTAAGATAGCTAACTAGTACCCGTTATTTTATGTGCCAGTCGAAAATTTTAAAAGAGCACCTATTAGCTAACAGCTATTAGCTGTGATTGTATCTAAAATCAGAGAAGAGTTATAGTGTGCAAAGTAAACATTTTAGAAGATCGTTGCCTTGATATGAAAAACTAGCATATAAATAATGGCAAATGGATCCTCAAGAACTAAAACACGAGTGAACCGCAGAAGAAACGAACGTTAAGGGATGACGAATGATACACAAATAATGGATGTGGGAAAAAATCTGCACCCATAACAGGCGGACATCCACCCCCCAACACACTAGAGATATATCACATAAATAGAATATGGTTGCAATCGACAACAGTTCAGACAGACAATTTTTGATCCGATATTGATGTGATATTATGAAAATTTAAGAGTAACTTTAAAACTCTTCACTAAAAGTAATAAAATTCTGATTCCGTAATAAATTACCAGGTTTTTAATGTCAGTAATGAGCAAACTTTTGAACCTGTTTAGATGTAGATGTGTAGATCAAGAAACAAGGCAAACTTTTTGGGGTTGTAACCCTCTTAAAAAAGGCGAAACACAAGGCCAGACACATAAACGAATGCTTTGCAGTGTATTTCTATGCGTTACGAGTGATACCGCGCGAAAAATCTAACGTAACCTCGCTAATAATTACAAAATTTTATTCATGTAAAGTAAGAAAGGAAATTTAAAATTGATGTTACTGTGAAAAAAAAGTTTCGGAACCTCTGCTTGTAATAAAAAAATTATCTAAAAACATGATAAAGGCCTCTTTGATCTTCAAAAGTTACTCATTTGTTTTCATTTAAGAGTTGTGTTCGCAAAGTAAACCATTAAATAGCTTTCCACAGATAAGCACTCATGCTGACGTCATAATATCAAAGCGAAGACGATTTATATCGCCCGCGAAACAATGGTATTTAAATTAGCTGTATTCGTCATTGGATGAAAAATTAAAACTTACTTAATATAATCCGAACACTAAAGCAAACTATTATCATTAAAATTCAGGCGATCAGTGAACTCTTACGTACAGGGGTAAAGGAAATTCAAACAAGTGTGTATTTTTTTCCTCAACTGACCGATTAGGAGAAAAAATTTTACCAATATAATTGGAGAGGAGCGATTAGACAAGCACGCATAAGCGGTCAAAGAAGTCATGCGAATATTTTGAGGCGTTTGAGAAACTTATAAAACGTTACGTTATTCTAATCGAGCAAAAGGCAGGGCTTGACGTATTGGATGTTGACTGGGTTTCGTCAATATTTTCGTACGTCCTACCATATGATAGCCTAGCCAGCTTTTACCAACGCAAGAGCAATCGTTGATTGAGCAGTGTTGTGCTTCGAATCAAATACGCAAAGTAATTCTTGACCCAAATGGGGTTTTTCTTACTTACAATCCGATGTATTTGATCATCAAATAAACTGTGCGTATATACATTCCCACATGTTGCATGATGTATGATCTGATATGTGATCTATAAGATTCCAGATGATATACGGTATACGATGTATGATATACGTTGGGGTGATATGTTATATATGATATATGATGTATGACTGATGATATATGATTTATGATATATGATTTATGACATATGATATATGTCTTATGATATATCATTTATGATATATAATATATGATATATGATATATGGACATATGATAGATAATATACGAGACAAAAAGTTCGGAGCATAATTCTTTCAAGTCAAATCAATTTTTTTCTGTTTATTAAGACGAAAGTAAAATGAGATTAGTAAAAGGGTAGAAAGAGAGTAACAGTTATTAGTGGATGTCCTTATCGTTCTTAAAATCTATTTACATTGATTAGCTTTATATCGGAAAGTTTTTAGGTAAGTAGGTAAATTTCGGTCACATCGAACCAATCATTCATAAGTTGGATGATTAAAACTTGACGAACACATTCATAGGTCAACAATTGCTTATAAGTTTGGAAGCAGCAAAATAATTTAGGATTGAATGAATTGATAGTCTTCTAGTGGTGCTGTTAATATAAGCAGTCCATAACAAAAAATAACGATTTCTATAGCAATGTTTTTTTTTTTTTTACTATTTCATTTTTTTAGGCAACACTCAATTGGCGCTCACGTAATCGCACCGAAAAATGGTTGCTGCTTATAATATCCGTAATGTTCCTTATCATCCTTGCTTTGTTATTAATAACGTTGACACATGATTCAGATAGAAATACACGTATTTTACACGTAGAACCGCACAATAGAAGTATGTGTTGAAAAAAGAACAAAATGAAATTCGAAAACTCGCCTCTTCACTAATATATTTTGACTGAATTATTACAGAAATGATTTCTTTCGCATATTACAGATAACGATTTACCCTGTCTTACGGAACATTGTGTATTTGCGGCCAGCGAGATTTTAAAATCGATCGATAAAACAGTAAATCCTTGCGATGACTTTTATGGTTACGCGTGGTAAGCTATGCGAATATTCGCCCAGTATATCTTGAAATATTTGTAGTTAATTTCCCTTCACCCTTCAGTAATCAATGGATAAAAAATAATCCTATACCCGAGGGAAAGTCGTCGTGGGGTACATTCAGCAATTTGGAACAACGCAATCAATTGATCATAAAAAATGTACTTGAGAAACCAATGAAAACTTTCAAATCGGAAGCGGAAAAAAAAGCAAAAGTTTATTATGAATCATGTTTGGATAAAAACGATCAGATAGAGAAATTGGGTGCTAAGCCTATGGTGGATTTATTATATAAAATTGGCGGTTGGAATGTTACGCACAGTGGCTTCAATATCGGCAAATGGAGTTTGGCCAACAGTCTTAAGATCTTACAAAATAAGTGAGAATCTGGGAAAAAAAAAACTATAAGTTGAGATGTCACTGATTACAAATTCTATTACAGATATAATTTTAACTGTTTATTTGGCTGGGCTATAGGGGAAGACGATAAAAATTCCTCACGGCATATCATACAAATTGATCAGGGTGGCCTAACTTTGCCGACGCCAGATTATTATGATAACAGAACCGAAATTCATCGCAAGGTCTTGCACGAATATATTGAATATATGACAAAAGTGTGCGTACTATTGGGTGCCAATGAAACCGATGCACGCCGTCAGATGCGGGAAGTTATCGCATTCGAAACTAAACTCGCCAACATATCCAGCCCGCTTGAGGAGAGACGTAACGAGGAGGCGATGTACCATCCGATGAAATTGGCGGAATTGGAAAAGTTAGCTCCATTCCTAAATTGGACGCAACACTTTGATCACGCTTTACAACTGGTCAATCGACGAGTTTTTCAAAAAGAAGTGGTAATCGTTTATGCTCCAGACTTTCTAAGAAATCTTTCGAAAATAATCCTAGAAATGGAAAAGACTATTGAAGGGAGAAAGTAAGCTATAAGAATTTTAACAATTCACTTTCATTTATAGAAAACCAATAGCGACAAATTCAATACTAACGTTGTTATCATTTCCGTTGTTTTTAAGTACTTTAAATAACTATTTGGTATGGCAGGCTATACGTACTTTGTCGTCTTGTCTATCGAAACCGTTTCGCGATGCGTATAAGGGTGTACGCAAAGCTCTAATGGGCTCGGATGGCGGCGAGGAGGTTTGGCGTTATTGTGTAGCCGACACCAACAATGTAGTGGGTTTTGCTGTCGGTGCCATATTTGTACGTCAAGCATTCCATGGCGAATCGAAACCGGAGGCCGAACAAATGATTAATGAAATACGTGAAGCCTTCAAGTTCAATATAGAAAATCTCATTTGGATGGATAAACGAACGCGAGAGCGTGCCATTGATAAAGCAAGCGCCATTACAGACATGATCGGTTTTCCCGATTACATCCTGAATGGTGAAGAATTGGATAAAAAGTATAGCGAATTGGATATCTCACCCAATGAATACTTTGAGAATAATATTCAAGTGAACATGTTCAATTTAAAGAAAAATTTGGAGAAACTTGATCAGCCCGTTAACAAAACAAACTGGGGCATGACTCCGCAAATGGTGAACGCGTATTATACACCTTCAAAAAATCAAATTGTATTTCCTGCCGGTATCTTGCAAATGCCTTTCTTCGATATACACAACCCGAAGAGTTTAAATTTCGGTGCAATGGGCGTGGTAATGGGTCACGAATTGACGCACGCCTTCGATGACCAGGGTCGAGAATATGACAAATTCGGCAACATGAACCGTTGGTGGGATAATAAAAGCATTGAGCGCTTTAATGAGAAAATTGAATGTTTTGCTAATCAGTATGGTTCGTATGTCCTTAATGGCTGGCGCTTAAATGGCAAACAAACATTAGGTTAATAAGAATTTTCAACTTGACATTATGCTTTCATCTAATAGTCATCTATATCATTTATTTTTCAGGTGAAAATATAGCCGACAATGGTGGTATTAAAGCGGCCTATCATGCTTACCTTAATACTCTTCTTGACAAACAAGCGGATCTCTTAAAGCTGCCCGGCTTAAATCTAACTCATGAACAATTATTTTTTGTGTCCTTTGCTCAGGTAATTATAACGGCTATGGTTCATTTAATTATACACTAACGTATTTCGGTTCATCTTTCGTTTAAACTTAAAACAATTTTCATTATTCTCTAGCGTTTTATTTTTTGATATTATATACAGTTAAATATTGCCTTTACCGCTAAGGATTAAGCTAAGCTATTAGAGATCGTATGAGATTTATATATATATATATATATATATATATATATATATATGTATATATGTATATATGTTCAGTTTTAGATTACGAGTCCTTTTGATTGTCTTCTGGACCCCTGCTGTTCGTCCCCTTCTTTTTGGATGGATTTAATTGTTTCATTCAAGCTTGGCATATATATAAAGCATAAAAAGGTTTACTAAATACGAGTCTTTGACTGTATACTATTTTCTGCGTATATGCAACAATCAAAAAGACTGTTTATTTTTTCGATTCAGAATAAATTTCTAAATTGATTTAAGCATGTCCGTCCGTCTGTCCGTCTGTTCGTTTAATGACTGTCCATGAATTTTGATGTTCAGCTTACGAATCACAATAAGCGAGATATTTTGATTAAACACACACACACAAACAGGACTTCTTACGTTTAATGCCAAGGATCAGATGCCATATAAACCTTTGTATAATATTTTAAATATTTATTGACAATAACCAACGAAAAGTGTTATAATTTTAAGCTAAATCAAATTTCTTTCCGATGGTATAATTTTTCGAACTTTCTACCCCAGAAACGTTTGTGCAACAAATAAGTATTTAGATGAAAACAAGACAACAAGGAACGGAAATTTGATTTTAATATTTCGATGACAAAGTGGAAAATATTGCAATATGGAAAAATGAATATAAATAAAGAATTTAGTTAGATTATGTACTGGGTACGATTCCATAACATTTCAATTGGTTACTTTGCTTACTTTTTTTCCAAATTCATTTGAGAAGTACCTTAAGACTAATTGCTAATACGACCCAACGTTACTATCACAGTTAGTAGATAAATATCAACACAGTTCTCTAAATAATAGGTTGGAGGAAAAGTTCTGTCGTATTTTATGCATGTACTTTGCTTTAACACAAAACCCAAGAGATTTAATGTGATCTCCAACAGTTGTATGATGAATGCCTAACTCTTCTGCAATTTCTCGACTTGATAAATATGGATTATTTTCCAACATGGATCGCTTGGAGGTTCAGATCCTTCGGAACGAAATTTGCTAAACCATCTTTGACAAGTACGAAGAATATACTATATCTTTTCCAAATACCACATAGTACATAAATTTTTACATGCAACCGATGCGTTGCTTCCTTTTTGGAATTTATACAAAATGCAGTGTCATAAATGCACTATACCTACTGACATGTTTTTCATTTTAAATATCACAACTTAATGATGAACGGTAAAAAAGACCCATTTTTTTATTATACGGCAGCTAAAAAAACAAAAAAAATCCGAATGACTCACTAGGCAGATGTTCTTTTTATTTATAAAGCAAATTACCTGCCTATTTAAAATACGGCAGAACTTTCCCTCCAACCTAATATGTTTACGCTTCGAGCGTGTACAGCAGATTGTTTTAAGTAACGACTTAAGGCTGTTTAACAACATCAAGATGTCAACATGCTCTCTATGAATAGTTTTTATCATTATTACTATCATTGTTAATTTAGCTAAAGAAATAAATTCTAAGACTGCAATCCTAAAGCACACATCTCTAAGGCTATCGGGTTTATTAAAAACTCTACTGTACTTGAGATGTGAACCCTCGACCATTCAGTTGTTAGTCCAGATTCATTACCTTCGGCCATTCAGTCGGACTACTACTTTATATTATTTACCTTACTCTTCCATTTCGTTTGCCTGTGCTAGGTTAAGTACATTTTTCTATGAGTATGCTAAGTGAACGTGTGGGTGTACTGTGATTTAAATACATTCAGTTACGTTATTAGCTTAGATTCACATACATGCATACAGTACGTAAGACAATATTTAGTTCGTGGTATTGCGATATTAAAGGCAAGTTGTCTTACGTTAAGTCGCGTTAACAAAATCACATGGGCAGATATCTAATTACTACAGCCACACACAATGCACAACGCACTCAAATTCATTTTTGATTGTTAAGTCTTTGTTTCCTTCAATGAGGGAAAAGTTATAGAACAAGATTGATTGATATTAACTGCGCATTAAAATAGATTTACGTGATCCGAATTCGGTTAGGTCGATTCCTTTGTCAATTAAACCATTATGAATCAATTTTTACCATGAAATATTGAAATTTCCACCTTTTAACCAAACAAAGATTCACTTTTCATAGAAACGGTTATATGAGATGGAGCTCAAAAAATTCGCCAAATTTTTCATACAATTTAGAATGCCGAAATACGTTTGTCGAGAAATTTTGAAACGACTTTTCACAATAAGACGTTATCAGGGGAGTTATCAAACAAGTTAACCGAACCGAACCGAACCGAACCGAATCATTTTCAATAATGTTCGTTCCAGGGTTAGAGGACATCAATGTACCAAATCGTTTGTCAAAATATGTCGGAAATTTGCGATATGTATGGTGAGAACAAATTCACATGAACAGACATCAGACATCAGACAGACGGACAGACAAGTTACTATTGAGCCTATCTGATGTCCCCTTCTAGGTGTTGCGTACGTACGTCAAACTTATAGGAGATATGAGTCCAAGTGTACTATAAACTTTTTGTTTTTTCTTTCGTAACAAACCCTATTGTTGTGATTTGTTCTTTTTTTTTATTTCATTTAATTTGATTTTTTACAGGTATGGTGCTCTACCGGCACCGACGAAACGACCGTCTTGCAAATGGAAAAAGACACTCATTCACCCTCTAAGTTTCGTGTTGTTGGCACTTTGTCGAATATGCCCGAATTTGCGGAAGTTTTCCAATGTAAACCTGGTTCAAAAATGAATCCCACCAAGAAGTGTGAAGTGTGGTAATTTAAAAAAAAGATTGATATCTGGTCCTATTTGTCTAGTTAATATCTATGTGTATGTGTGATGTGCGAAAATCTTTTATATAATTAAGTAAGTAATTAAGAAGATTAAAACTGGAAATCTATACTAAATTTATTTGAACATGAATGTGCGTGAATTTATTAAAATAATTCTGATTTCCATTGTTTTTTCATTTCATAGTTAGTTCCTCGTTTTTCGTTTTTCGTTTTTTATTTATTTTTTTTTTTTATATATATATATATATATTTTTTTTTTTTTTTTTTTCTGTTATATATTTCATAAAAGTGATCTTCAAGTTAGATATGAGAAATTAATTAAAAGTCGTAGTATCTCTATTTAAGAATATTTTGGTTTGTAATGCATATAAAAATTGTTGTTTAGTATAAATATATTTTTGTATTTAACTATGTACGTGAAATCATATATAAAATTAAGGCGAACGTGTGCATTTTCTTCAATCATATCTAAGGAAAACCGTCTTGTAACCAAACCCATTGAAATGATCAAGTCCTAAATAATATGTTAACATATCCCCCATGAAAATGAAATTGAAAACTATTTAAAAGTTACGAGTTATTGGAATATGTTTCTCCTTATGCAGATAGCTATTTAGGACACTCTCAACCAAAATTTTGCTCACAAAAAAAAAAAAAAATGAAAATATTATTTTCAATTACGTTAAATTACTCTTTCAAATAATAAAAAAAAAAATAAAAAATAAAAATATATAAATATAATATATATAAAAATATATATATATATATATAAATAAATATATAAAACAAAGAAAGAAAACAGAGCACAAATTTTTTTAAAATTTTTTTATTTTCTTTTTTATATATTTTTTCTTTTTTTTTATAATAAACCTTATATCGTTGAATAGTATCGTCAACCTAATATCCAGTTCCTTTTGAGAAAATGTCTATTATAAGTCAAAATACATTCGTATGTATGTATGTATGTATGTGTTAATTAAGCATTTTATATATATTTTGAAAGCATTACTTACTATACAGGCGTGCGTACATACTTTTAATGTTATTAATATAAAAAAATTTTAATTTCGTTTTAACTAAAACAATTATAAAATATTTTTTTGTACTATTTATTAAGCAAATGAAAGAAAACAAGAAAAAATCAAAATTATAAATAAATTAAGAAACAACTAATCAATCTCTTGTGAAACTTTAACAATTCTTTTTTGTTTTATGAAAACACACTCCTACACTGAAACTGAAATTGAAATTGCAATGGAACGATTTCAAGCCGAGAGTATTCGCCAAACCGTTTCCGATTTCCAGTTCTTCGTTTATACAAATATAGGATGTCAATGTCGGCTATACATCTCTTCACAATTTTTTTCTCTTTCTTTTACAATATATTTGAGTATCACATATATAACCAAATAATGCATGCACCATATCGCCACGAAGTTGATCACCGTCGAATACTAATTGCCTTGTAATCTGCAAGACTATCTTAAGGATAGGAAGTTCAACTTCCAAAGAGCCCCATGAAAATCATTCGAAGCTCAGTTCGTGTTCAGAAAGCCGCGACATGGTACCAGAGTCGCTGTAACGGTCTTATTAGGCAAACAATTTCACTCGAGATTCTCTATTATTTGCCTTTTAGTAGGGCAATTCCATATATAAATGATATTCTTCAGACTCAGAGACTGCCATAATAGGGATTTATAAGCATAAGCACTCAAATAGATCAGTTATTGTATGTAACGCATTCGTGTAGCATATAGTATGCATTCACATGCCAGAGCTTTTTTGAACAAATTTTTTGAACATCCTTTAAAAATAGACCACACTTTTACATATGTATGCATGCATCTGAAAAGTGGAAATATATATATATATATATATATATATATATATATTATTTTTTATATATATATTATTTTATTTTATGTCTTTGCTAAAAAGCCAAATATTCGTGTCTTTGCCAAGTTATAAAAAACCGCAAAGAAACGAGAAATAGAAGGAATGTAAGAAAGTTACGTTTGCTCGAATCCTTTACACCCATCCTTGTGATCCTAGGAAAAGAAGAAAGCCAAACCAAATTTTCTAAGATTTGTTTTATTTTTTAGAATAAAAGTGAAAATTTTTATGGTAGACGTGTAGTAGTTTATGAGCGATAAGGAAAAAATCACGGAAAGTAAAGCTAATCACATTTTCTATTGCGTAGTATGTAAGTAGGCTTTTTAGGCAGGCAGGCAGGCCTGGGCATCATCCTTCGACGATGGGTATAAAATCACCGCGAAATAAAAAGAAACTGACAAAATGATCACAAAAATTCAAAAAAGTGTAGAAAACACTCTGTATGTATAGTCACTGAAAGGATGAGATCGCGTTATAAAAAATTTGAGAGTATTCCGATTTTTTACACCGGACTATAAAAAAACTTTAAATCTTTAAAGAGTATTTCTTTCTGTTGAACTCGTGTTAAATCAAATTTTGGCGTAAAAAAAAAATACGTGTAAAAAGAGAATTAGGTGTATTATCGATTTGCCGAAATTACTGAGTAAAATTGTTGGTTTAATGTCCCGATTAGTTTGTCTAGGAACTTTATTGTCATAAAGTTTAACTTAAATTTAGATATACGAGGTTACGAGGTTTTCAATCCGTTCAGAGCCCTCGCCAAATATCGAAATGATATCTACTATTTAATGTCAATATTGGATTCTTCAAATTCTATCAAATCAACTTTCCTCAATAGGCGCGATTTGTCTATGTCGTGTCTGAAGTAACTTCCAATTTTTACATCCAAATATGATTTTATAAATTAAGTCTATTTGGTCATTGTTATCGGTTGGCAAGCTTTTGTTAGAGGCTTACTCTCATCTCTCGAATTTGTACCGGCAACGGATGTCCTTCTACTCGGTGCATAAATGCTTTCTTTCTATTTCTAACATTGTGTTCCAGTTATTAATGTAACGAATTTTTCAAATAAATCGTTATATGGGAAAGTTGTCGAAAAAGTGATCCGATCCAAATCAATGTCAATAGTGTTCGTCCTTGGGTCAAAACATGTCGTTGTGCCAATTTCATTCCAATATTTTAAGAAAACAACATGGACAAACGGACAGACGTGCTTAAATCGATTCAGCAAATGATTCCGAATGATTCGTGTAGCAACAACTGAGTCCATCTCAAATACTTTTGCATGTTGCATGCATCCGGACAAGTTTAGCGCATATACTTTTTATTCGTTTCTGCAAAGCCGATTTGTTAGTGTACAACTGTGTAAAATGCTCAAAACTTAACGAACTGATATTCGCCTTAACCTATCCGTAGCCTTATCTATACTAATCGAATATGATGTTATTGATCTTTAGATTTCAAGATATTCAAGATTCGCGACAATTGAGAAAATGTATTCCTATTTGATGGTTACACACTTCCCCACATAGTTAATGTTGCATAATACTTGTGTTTTATTTAATTGCTTGTACTTCCAGTACAGACATAAAAGTGAAAGTATATAAATTGCTTGGTAAGCCCGTTTGCCTTTTTGCAGTTTGACCTGAACGATAAACGACAGTTGTGTTAAAACCTATAAGTGATGGTACGATCGAAATTGCATTAGTTTTTAGTTTAGTTTGCACAACAACACTCTCTGTTTACTGGCCTTTAAACATGAAATTAAACGCTTATGCGTCGCATTCAAGTGTGAGCATCAAAAAAAAATTTTATAAACAATAATGGTCTCAAGTACATTACCGTAGTTTCTTTGATGGGTCTATAGTGAGATGTTGTTGTTGTTGTATGATGCACTGAATACACTTTGCAAAGTAGGAATGTGATTTGATATGAGGAATTAATGTAGTGATGGATGTGGCGGTGACTCTCTATCAAGATCTGCTCTTATAGAAATTTCGATTAACTTAAGGTAAACTCTAATACCTATTTTGCCCCGCTTCAGTTCGTCAAGATTATTTCTCATTGAGAATTGAATGATTGTTTGATTCATTTTTACTTTCTGCTTATATACTATTTATAATAAAGTAATGTGATGATATAAGTGATATAAGTACATTTACATATTTAAGAAATATTTCAAGTGCAAACCGAACAATTCCGCACATATATCTGTAATGAGAGCGTTTTAGCATTTATGGCTTGGCTTATTAGAATCCAGTGCAATTTGACACTTTTTATGTGTGCCACTCATAATTCTGATTTATTTCATTATGTTTTCTCTTTATTTGTTTTATTCGGATCACAGTTTGCGGCTCTAAGACAAGCATGCTATTATGCTTACTACTACATGAATTGTCCACCTTTTACGTCACTTGAATAAACGCTTATCTAAACAAGTAAGAACATTATACTCGAGCAACGCCGACCATTATATATCCTACATCACTTCGTTTAGTTTGCTAACAACACGCCAAAAAGTACACATTATTTCCATGGAAAGGCATAACTTTCATGAAAACCCTTAGATTTTCTCTCCACATAAAAGCTTGCGTTTCGTGATGACCCCAAAAGAAATAGATCTGTATGATCCAAATTTCTTAGCCTTTATTCTTTTGCTGGAATGCTACAATGAATTAATTTTCATCATAAATTTAGGCGTTTTTTCGAAGGGCTTGCTATTCATTGAGATATCTTAACTGGAGTGGGGCCCAGAAATAGACCCAAGTGGTTCAAATTTGGTCTTCTTAAATTTTTTGCTTAATTATTATAACGAAACAAATTTTCATCACAAAAATATTAACAATAAAGCTTTCCTGGCATGTAAAACGTTACGCTCCACGAGTATCCCTAGTTACGGTGGTATTCAAAATATAGACTTATGTGGTTCAAATTCGATAAGGTAGATTTCCTTATCAATTTACTATTATGAGCCAATATTGATCATGAAATATTGGAAATTCGATTTTTTTCACCCTATAATGTTGCAGTTTCCTTAGGAGAGGGGGGTTCGAAAAATTACCTCAGCCGATTCAAAGTTTTCACAATAATTTAGAAAGCCGATTTTCGATTTTTTGAACCAGGAGAGTGTCAATAACCCACATCAACACCGGCACAAAGACGTGTAAGCGGAGAGACATGACTTGATTGATTCAGAATTTAACGCTGATCATGACATACGTACATGTATATATTTGAAATGGTCTTTAAAGCTGCCTTTTGGATGTTGCAAATATGTTGGCAAGACGAGTATACCCTTACCCTCGAGTGTTAGGTATAAAAATAAAAATAAATATGTACGCATTCATCGTATTTTAATTTTTTTTTTTTTTTTTTTCAAATGTTATTTTTAATTGTAAGCAAACATGCTCAGGGAGATGTAAGCCAGACCGGTAAGGTTGTAAGTCGACTAAGTCACGATTCTTTATACTTCCTGCCTGTTATTTGTTGCACGCTTACAGTCAACTGCTTGAGGTAAGAAATTAAAATAGAATTTAAAAAAAAAAAAAAAATTTCTACAGCTTTCTAGGTGAGATTCTCGTGCATTATTATGGCAATTGATAAATTATAATGACATCAACTTACTACCTAAAATGAATATCTCTTTTGCATAATTTTTAAAGTGAAAACTTTTTCCATTACTTTCGTTGCTATAAACAAATTTTTATTTTAAAAGCGGTAGAGCCTCGTTCACGGTTATACCAACCAATAACGTTATTTAGTAGCATCATTCGCCCTCTCTAAATAGTGAGTCAGTAGCTTAACATTAGTTAAGTATTAGTTAACTAACCCGACTTTGTATCCATCTATTATGAAAAACCTGAAACCACAAACTTTTCCTTTGTCTATTATCTCTGGCATAGTTCTGTAATTTTGTCGTTTACTTATAAGTGAATAAAAATGTTAAAAAAGATACCTTCTGGTTTGCCTAGAAAGTGTCCTCTCTAATCGGGCGGAAGTTTAGTGTATGACTATTCTTTTGCAAGCCATAAACTCTTTCATGCGCGTATACACTTTATGAGGACGAAAAAAACATAGTTGAGTATAAAATGTCTTCATATCCGTGTATCCGTCCTAAATAGTTTCTCTTCTACACTTCGATTGCCTACCATAAAAACAAAAATGACTCGTCTCCTAAAGCACTTATACTGACAAAAAAAAAAGGCCGAGAATAGCATTATATCGACTACAAATTTTTTACTACCGTCACTTAAACTTGCGTACAAAGTAGTACAGAGGGAGCAACTAATTCGATATTATAGAGTCGAAGCGTAGCTGCCTAACCACAAAGCCTACATAGTTCATCACGCGATCATCTATTGAATATGAACTCGAAAAATATAACTTAAAACTCTTGTTGACTTAATGTCGAACATATCCGAACATCCCTATAACGTATTTATTGAATAATATTTTAAATTCATATTATACGACTTTTCATATTGACCTCGTAAGAAAATGTACAGGTTTTTGTTTTTCTATGAAAACCTGTTTGGATTATAATTTTCCCTTTTTACATTTTTTCTTTTTTAATTATTTTATAAACGAAATGCGTTTGTATGCCTATCTTGAGTATGAGTGTCTTCAGCATTCTTCTCAACGACGCGCATTTACCTTATACAGCATTTAAAGACCGAAGTTGTATCTACTGCTTTATTAGTATGATTGGCGTTGTTGTTGCCGTACGACCGTAAACTTCAACGTTTTGCAAACATAAAAATTCTTAGCACATCTTAGCCAACCTTTAGTATACGTTTAACTTCAGTGATTGCATCTCTGCATCAAGTATTTTCTATAAATTTTATTTATAAGATTAACAAATGCTTATGCTCTTAATCTTTCTTCAAATCTGATCAAAAAAAAAAAAATAGAAAAAAAAAATTAATTAGAAAAAAGAATTCATTATCGATATTAACTAAAAAGAAGGAAAGGAAAAAAAAAGTTGAAAACATGAAATTGATTGTATTTTCCGTTTGTTTGCTAATCGGCATTGCCGCAGTCCTTGGATCTTCAGGTAAGCGTAGTATTATATTAATTACTTTAAGCCATAATTGGATGGTAAGCAAGCATTCTCCTCACTACTCGCCGATTAATACGTTGTGTTAACTTAACAAAGCCAAGCGTTCCATGGGGATCGATGAAGCTCATGAATAGATTAGCGTATGCAGGCATAAATAAATTTAAAATATTTCATAAACTTATTCTAAATTTGATTAAAAACGAAAAAATTGAATGAATCTATTCATCATTGACTCGTTCATTGAATTTAATCTGTCAATGAGTTTCATGCGCACCGTGCATACAAAATGGAATTTGCGTTAAAACATTATATTCGGTTGCGACAGAATTTCTTATACCCATCACCGTTAAGCTATTTTCGTATCCATCGCGGAAGGATGAGAGGTATAATCATTTCTAAAGGAAGCTACAGAGACGCAATAAGGTATATATAATCTATATAATTGATCAGCATCAAATTCTAAACCGGTTTAAGTAAATCCGTTCGTCCGCCTCTCTGCCCGCAAAGATAAAGCTATCGACTTCAAATTAGGCAGAAAGATTAGGGAGTTCTTGCATGTAAATTGATATTGGAAATGGGCCAAATTGATCGCAGGGCAAGCCCACAGCACTACGTAAGCTAAGACGCTCTCCGTTTTCAAAAGGAATAAGAAACTGGGTTTCTGCTCATGACTCATATGCTTTGGCAGATAAATCAATAAAAATTTGAATATATATATATATATATTCTATAGGCGATGCTATAGTAACTGTACAAGAATGTGCAAAATTGACCACGCCTACTCAATGTTTAAATTTTTTTTTTTTTCAACACCTTTATAAGGCGTAGAAACAAGCTTCAAAACCCCCATAAAGTGTAAAAAACCTGTGGACAGGTTCAAATTTGGAATGCACGTAAACATGTCCATCTGGCTGGGTGCGCAACTGTGAAGTATTTGTGGTAAACATTCCCCCGTTAGCGAAAATCAAATCAAATCGCCTACAAATTTGAAAAAAAAAATTTGGAAGCGACTTAAACTTTGCTACAACAAATTTTATTTTATTTTGAAAATAGAAAAACTCAGGCGCGTCCACTCCATATTGTAGAGTATAAAAATTTAGTTATTTTTTAGGATAACATTGATGAGTATAAAAAATCCGATCACGCCCGGCTATAATTTTCTTACTTCATTCCACAACCTATATAACCTATTAATGTTTTCTTTCGAAAAACAGTTATTTAACGATTTCTCAGAAAATGAGAGGAATCTTTATTCTCGTTTAAGAGTCAATCTTAACTGGAGGCAGTCAGCAAGAGTTAGTGAAACACGCGAAGCTACTGAGAAAAGAATCGAAATTACTCGAAAATGAGTAAAAAAAGTTCTTAAACTCTTGCGCTTGAATAAAAGACAAGTAGTAGGAAGAAGAAGAACTTGAAAATGTACATGTAAATATCATTGATTTTTTGATAGGAATCCTTGTTATTTTATTATGTCAGAAGCCTTCGAGAAAAAATTCTTGTTAAATTCCTTTCCTTCCCTTCGCTCTCTGCCTATCCATTTTTCGTAAAAGGATCGTTTTACAGAATTATCTCCTTGTCATGTTCTTTCATTTCAGACAACGGTCACTTCATACCTAAAGCATTTTATACCCTTGATGAGCATGGACATAAGACTGAATTGCATTCTATTGATCCACATGTAAGTATTACGTACACGTTGAAGAGATCAAAACTACCCGAATGAAAAGCCGAGTAGGTAAGAATCAAGATTACACGTACGGATTCCAATATTCACTCCACAAATAATACACACAAAAAAAAAAAAAAAAAAAAAAAAAAAAAAAAAAGTCTGACGCTTTTCGTTGAACGTTTCTTGGCGTGAAAAAAATCATATAAAAACATTTGATTAACACCAGTCCAAACACTAACTAACTGTTCACAACGACCTCGTAACAATTCAACTAAAAATTAGTTCAAAACAACCCAAGTCGTTATTAGCAGATCGAGTAGATGGGAAAGGAAGCCAAAGCTTATTTCGTTTCTCTTAGCAAATAAAATCATTTTTTAAACTAGAGACTACAAAATTATTATTACCCAGGGAACGTTATGGAATATGTTAGCTCCTCCGCGATATTCACCAAAGATTATTCCGTCCCACAATCGATGGCTTACTGCCTAAACGTGGGGCGGTTTCGACTCTTACGACAACGCATGACAAGCGGATAGCTTGAAGAGATGAGCTTGGCTGTATTTGTACAGAATTCATATTCACTGCCTGTCAGTAATGATAGACAATAATTTTTAAGTAGAAGATCTCGTGCTAGTTTGTTTTGTTGTTGTAATGATAATTCAATTTTACTAAAGCATCGGCAAGAACGCTTTCACGCTTCTATATTGATTTGATATTTCTTGCTATCTGCTATATCTGCTGCATTTATCCTTTTCTCATTTATTTCATTTTTTTGTTTTCTTCCTCTTCACTTTCCTAGACTGTGCATTATCTCAAGCGCTTACGCAGGGATATTCGTAACAGGAAATTCAAATTTTGGTAAGTCTGTATTTCTCTCTCTCTCTCTCTCTCTCTCTCTCTCTCTTTTTCTTTTGGGATATTTTGCTTTTAAAGTAAAACGAATTTTTTTTTTATTCACAAATAAATTTTTAATTTACTTATATGCATACATTTGTTTTTCTTTTAGAACACAGATAACGGATTGCGAGACAATGGAAGAGGTGACCATATTTGGAAAGCATATGGAATCTATTGCAGACGAATTATATGAAAATTTTGACAATTAAATTCGTTAGAAATAAATTAAACTCAAATTATGATGAATGATAAATAAAAATCGAATTAAGAATATTTTCGCATATATATATATGTATATATATATATATATATATATATAAATATTAATTTTACTGTTAACAAATTTTTACTGCAACATTTCAGCGAAATTTATCTTAGTCAATTAGTTAACATTTTTGCTTCAATCTTCCTTGCTATAATTATCATCTATATTATATATATTGAACCAGAAAACGATTTTATCGAGGCAACCTTGTTTGCCTTACTTATAGCTGTGCGTACGACCTTACATGTAAATAATTGAATTAAGGCGAAAACTGAGCAAAGCAGATGCTTAAACAGCTTCCTTATTAATTGAAAATCAGAGATGTTCCCAGAGTATGTGGCACTGTGGGTACTTCCCTCGACCGATTTGGTCCATTTGCAATACTAACCTGCGTGCTAGAACTTCCAGTGTTTCTGCCGAATTCGAAGTCAATGTCTTCAGTTTTGCTGTCACGAAATTGTTTACAACCGCCATTGCTCAGATGGACAGACGTACATGCTTAAATCGATTTAAAATTTAATGGTGATCAAGAATATCATACACTTTCTGAGTTCCCTGATGTTTTCTTTCGAGCATTACAAACGCTTTAACAAAAAGAATAAAGTTGTACTTGATGAACCTTTAAACAGCTTTTCAAGGTCCACGATATCTGACTATAAGATTTTGATTATTTTATCTTTAATGACGCATTTGATACAATTCAAAATTAGGCTATGTACCGCAAGATTCTATCTTGAAACCCCTACTGTTTGAACCGTTTGTAAGTGATTTTGGGGATTTTGTTGGTGACATCTTTCTATAGAGATAATGCAAATAATTCGCATCCGTTCGAAAACAATATTAACGAGTCTTTAGCAATTTTTAACTTCTCGATGGTGGATAATATGTTTTGCGTAAACTTCAGTAAAGCTAAAGCCTTGCTCTTCAATGCTCTCCGCATCGTTTCACGTAACCTCAATATGAAAACATCTGAATATTCAATTGATCCTTTCAATTCAATCCAATGTCTAGTGATAACCTCTGATACTAAGCTCAACTTTGGCCCTCACATTGACAGGGCCTCTACTAAACTTTTCCGTATGCTGCGAAAACTGTACCTGAAAACTGTAAAACCTTGTCTGCACCTCCAGATAAAACATAATATTGCGCGTTCGATCCTCACGACACATGCTAGCTGTTGTGTTGAAGACCTTTCTGGAAGCCTATGGTGTAATGTAGATAGGTTTCAAAATATTGTTAACCGGATAGCACGCTTGGGTTTTAACTTAGAGACAACATTTTCGCCTTCGTTCATGTTTCTTTAAAATTCTCCTTCCCCGATTATCTAAAATTCGGGTTGCTTGTCTGCCTCTACAAAGTCATTGATTCCCGATCTCCAAGCTCTTTTACTCTAGGTCATATAGAAACCCTTTCATATTAATATCATGTTTTTCCAACTCGTTGGCCGAACAATCTTTCATTGCCCGTGTTGCTAGATATTGGAATGCCTTATCGTAGAATCTGAAATTCTTCAACGATTACTTGAATACGGTGTTGATTGATGATTACCGGAGCTTATGAAGCAAGATGATTACATTAACAGCCACTCAGCCGACCTTTTGCAATTTCTTTTCGCATTTTTGAAAAATTAATGGAAAAAACTGAACTAGCAGTAACTACAAATTGCTATCACACACGATGTGGGTGTAAGAATACTTAACGTATTTCTGGAGATTTCATTTCCAATTCATTTATATCCAAGTCTCTTTTCAGAAAATGTATCAAACCTACATAGCTTTGAAAAAATTTGACAAATGAATTAAATAAATATAAAGCAAGTAAAAAAATTAAATTCGGTCGGGTCCGAATATTTTATACCGATCACCGTTTACCCCAAAAACAGATAAAAGAAGTAAAAGAGCAAAATTCTCATGCTCTTTAATATGGAGTGGACGCACCTCTTCGATTTTCAAAATTAAAAAGTTTTGTTGTAGAGGCGTATGGGCATTGTAGACGTGTCCTTTGAAAAGTTTAGACCAATTCCAAATTCTATTGAAGGCGATATCTTCATTTTCACTAGAGCAAGAATTTTTACTACAACTACTACAAAGTTGCGCAAACAGACATATGGACAGACGAACAGGCGGATATGTTTAGGTGCATTCAAGAGTTGTAACTGGCCAAGAATTTATCTACATTATGGGGTATTGAAAAGATAATGAGAAAAATAATTCAATTTTGATATGCTATTGCGTATGCTATGTCGAGCAGGCGTGGCCCATAGAATATGCTTAAAAATTGTTTTACATCTATTTGCTATAGTTTATGAGTAATGAGCAAAAAAAAGAATTTTTCATTCCCTTTAAAACACAGAGGTGTTCTCAGTTTACGTAGTGCCGTGGGCGTGTCCTTCCATCAATTTGGCCCATTTCCAATACGAACGTGCGAGTAACAACTTTCAACAGATGGACAGACGCACAAAGCTCAAGAATATATGTATGGACTTTGTGGAGTCTCTGATGCTTCCTTCTGGATGTTGCAAACATTTTAGCAAAATGAATGTACCCCTCATCCTTCGGTGACGGGTATAAGGAAAAAATTAAATTTTATTGATGTGATTTAAGACTTAAGCTTAAGACATGCTTTCAAATGTTATTCGTCTTGAAGCTAAAATTATATTTTGAAAAGTTCATCAACTGAAGCGTAAAATAAATCAATTTTAACGAGTTTCCCAGATAACAACACTCAAAAGTGTTACAACCGTTTCGTCTTTAAAAAAAAAAAATACTAAATAAATAAATAAACTCGTTTTGTGCGTATAACGTTGGCTTCGTTTTTAAGCGTTCATTGTGAATGATGGCTAATGAAAGTCATTATGCGTTTATCATATGAGACACTCAAATTCATTGATAACAACCAGTTTAAAAGGCGACTAAAAGAAGACCCACAACATGGTCAGCGGTTTTAAATTTCGTACATCGTAACATATATGTTTCAACAAATGTCTCTTTCGTTACCCATAGAGCATGATGCTCTTAACCAAGTTGACTGCAATTCGCCCATCTTATGTAATTCTGTTCAAGGTCAACAAGTTCGGAAGCTAAGCTATGTGAAGATAAAAACATCAGAAATAGATGGTTTACGGGTGTTGTTATACATATTACTTAGCATACTTACATATAGATATCTTTCTACCGGTTTTTTTTTTTGCTGCTTCACTTTAAGTACAATAGCAACAACTGCTGATTATTGAGAGGAATTTCGCAAGCGTTCATCATAAAAATTTTGTGTTAAGTAGATTCATTAATGTCCATTTAAAAAACAACTATAAATATATACATAAATATATAAAAGCGGATATTTTTTTTATATGCTTTTAGTCTGCAATAATCTGGTTCTGAGGCATCGTTATGAGATAATGAGAAATTTTCAAAAAATTTATATTGCAAGGCAATCCTGTCGAATTTCCAGTTAATTATGAACTTCCTACTATCGTTAGTTATAGGCGCTAGTTATAGCCTCGAAAAACAAAAAAAAATAAAATATTTAAAAGGTCTTTTATCACAATGCGATGAATTAAACGATGAAGGTAAATCTAAAACTGTCATCTATAAAGGAAAGCATTTTTTCCATAGAATACCGTTACAATAACTTGCGTACATTTAATTGAAATCTGTTTTGTAATCGGCATTAAATACAAATGCACTCTAAATACCTTTAAATATATTTACGCGACCTAAAGACAAAGTATTGCCAAAGCTTTCTTTAATATGTCTTATCACCTTCAAGGTTGCACCAAGCATGATTGCAATCTTCCAAGAGGAACTAACATTTAGTTTATTTCCTCCGCCTATGTCTATGAACGAAATTTCACCCATCCTGCGAGACATGGTGCTCTTAGATAAAAAAACCATCAACTTTCATTTAAGCGACTAAAAAGAGAACCAAAAATTACACTGGTTAGATTGGGGTAATTTTTTGAACCGCCTCTCATAAAACCGTTCCTACGAATACTGAATCTTTATTTGGTAAAAAGATACAATTTTCAATATATCACAATGGTAAACTGACAAAGCAGTCAACCTAACCGAATTTAAACCACGTTAATCTTTAGTTTGGATACCCTATCGCATATAAGGACTCTCAGGAAATATAAAGATTTATAAGCCCCAACGGCCTAATTGTTAATGTTCTATGATGAAAATTGGTTCACGATAGTAATTTGATATAAAAATTAGATGCAAAAAATTTGAACTACTTGGGTTTATTGCTGTGGACCCCAGTACATGTAACATATCTGATCAATAGTAAGCCCTTCAGAAAAGAATTTAATTTTTAATATTGTATAATGAAAACTGAACCATAGCAGCGATTTAGTAGAAAACTTAACGGCAGAGAATTTGGATCAGATAGATCTACTTTTTAGACCTTAACATACATAAGGGTCATCATTAAAAGCAAGCCCTTATATGGGAAGAAAGACTATTTTCTAGTTTTTCATTACGAAAATTGAAGAATTATAAAATTTTTAGTGAGCAAATTAATTTTACAATCTTTCGATCACGTCATGTAATGTTTCGGATATCGTCCAATATGCGGACTTTCATGAAAAGTATGCCTTTGCTTGAAAATAAAGGGCAATTTTTGGTATATTAATACCAAAGCAGGTGAACAAGTGTGCTGGCCTAGGTAATAGAGAATATCTAATGGCCGACCTAGCCCGGCTGTAATGTTCTTACTTGTTTGTCGATCAAAAGGGATTAAATTATATTTTGTTAAGAAGGGTCCGGCTAATAAGGCTAAGCCGAGCCTATCAAAAAGATTTAAAGTCGCCTGATGCTGCTAAAATCCGTCAACACATTTGCGGTAATCTAATGCACACAAACTTATGCAATTTTTATGCATAGTGTGGGCTGATCTTAAATTTCGCTTTCTTCATTCACACAGGGAGTTCTAATTTTAACATTTCTTATTGAACGGCCATTTTTCAATTCGCGCATTTAGCGAAAGCTTCAAAACACAAGATGCTTGTAGTAAACACAGAAATATCGAAACCAAGCAATTATCACATCACCTCTACATACTGATTAATCTGTAAACTCAGATATGAAAACGAGAGCAAATTAACACCATCTTGAATACAGCATCGTATTAATTCAGTAAGTCTACCTATAAACATTTATGTCCGTCACCGAAATATCAGTGAAGCGTAAATCAATTTTAACATATGCTCCGGTATGCCGTAATATAAATTTAAAAATTAAATTTGGACATCTAATCGTTATTTCTTGTGTTGTTGGAGTTTTTACCTGTGAGCTGAAACAGAAGGATTTAAAGTTAACAAAATTCCCCCAAGCCTGGCTAATCTCGTTGCACGGAGTGCGTCCAGTGTAAACCAGTAATAGCGCAGATAGGGAATGGAGACCTCTACTCTTCACATGTCGCATTTCCAGAACACTCAACAAGCGGTAACGAAGGTGCACAGAGACATCGTCATTACCAGGTGAGTTAGGCTTTTAACAAACCTTTCTAAATAACAGTACAATTGGGCCTTGGTCTTACCTTCGAATAATCGATTCGATGCTGATACTAGTATAATATAGGCACTATGATGACGCAATCAACATAAGACTAAATTTGGATGACAGCTTGCCTATCCGAACTTATCAATACAGTCTTTTGTCTCGAAACGAAACGGCATATGCTCAGCCTTATTCCTCGGACAAATGGAAGCGACTTCTGCACGTATCGATAGTAAAAACCCATTGTCTGCTGAATTCGGAGGTTAGAAAATCCCATAATCTGTTTTATTGAAAATTTACCTTACCTCCTTGGGTTTTCCGGCACAATTTCTATGCCCCAAAAGTTACATTTTTTTCGATAAAACTATATCTGCGCGTCCCTAACCCCGATACATAGACTTTGAAGATAAACTAAATTTCTCTTCAAGGTGCTGTAATGAACGGATGTATGCAACATCTAAAAGGACTTGAAATAGACCCATGTTTACTTATACAGGTGCTAAGTTTGTCTGCGCCTTTGTCCGTCTTGTTTTTTTATATTCACCCTACAGACTGTAATTTTTTAGATATTCTGATGAAACTTGACAAACACTACTAAAGCCGGTTTCACGACCACTTCCCACATAATATCTTATTTTGAACTGTGGGGTGATGTAGTCTTTCAATTTGTTTTTTTTTTTTTTTACGATTAAAAAAAATCGTTAAAGATTTTCATACGTCTGCTGGATACATTTCGTATTTATTATGGAACCACATTTTTTCATACTTGTTTTAATTTTATATTCATTACCTATCAAGAAAAAAGGTGAAAAACATATACATAAGGTCTTCTAAGTGAGGTAACTGCTGACATTTGTTGTGCTTGTGTCTGCAAACAAAAGCAGAAATTATTTCTGAAGATAACAGTAGCTTTGGCGTCGTACCGTTAACAGAGACTGAACGAGTGAGTGCGTTCATATGTACATCAAGTGCGTATAAAAGAAGAATATTTACACGTTCATAAGCGCACACTCGACCATACACTTGAAACGTTCACACCATTCAAATAAAACAACGGCGGTTCCTATTGTTGACTTTCTGCATAAATTCAAAACTAAACTCTACGAACACAAAAAAAAATTAATAAAAATTTAAAAAAAAAAACGCAACAAATATGTTTAAATACGCGTTAATTGCCTGTCTATTGAGTGCTGTTGCTATTGCTTTGCCAATCGTGAGTGAAATTTTAAAAACCATTCAATCAAAGAAAATGGAAATCATTATAATAAAAAGTTCATAAAAGGACATTTGGTATTATTTTTTTTTTTTAAATTTATTTTGCACATAAATTGCCCAAAATTATTTGCTTTCTGTCTAAGGGCCATTTCCATAATATCCGCTTAGTTTAGTGCGTTAACCTAAATCTTAAAACTTAATCGACAGTTGTGCTAGAAAGAGATTTTAAAGGCACTAAAGTTTCGTATATATCATATATACATATCTAGTCTTTGAAATTGAAACCAACGAACATGGTGACGCTGACCATTTGAAGTGAAATAACAAAACTTTCAAGAGGCTATCGGTATCTCATCAACAAATTTCTGCTTATAATAGTTCAAGTGTGGAGTGTTGAGATTAACAATGCAGATAGCGCTAATTAGAGTGAGGTTTCAGTGTTTAGTGTACACAGAGTAAATGATTGAAATATATGCATGAATTTTGGATGGTTGAAGCAATGTTTTTTCTATAATCGTGGTTTTTGGTAGATGAAGTTTAAAATAGAATTAAATTTTGTCCATAATTTAGGGCATATATCTTTGTTGGCTTCTGCTATATGCAGTAGGATAGTTAGTTAGTTAGTTGGCGTTAAACGCAGTTCTATTCAAGTTCTATTCATTTCAGTAAAATGATATTTTCCCAACCAGTTTAGTTTTGTGCGTTTCCATTGTGTTTTTCCATATATTGATTTTCCGACATCAAGTTTAAAAAATTTTCATTAAATTCCTAAAAGGATAACCCGGATTAGAATAGTTTCGTGTTGCCTGCATTGTGTTATTGGGCTGCACATATTAGTAATCTATTAGTAATGTCTGTCCGCAATTACAATTGTTTTTATATGTTTATTTTACGAACCATTCGACGGAATTCTCCTGTAACAATAGGCACGAATTCTCGTTAGGAAGAGAAGGGAACAAAGGGAGAGAGAAAGAGAGAGAGAGAGAGAGAGAGAGAGAGCAGTGTATATGAGGGAAAAAGAATATAAAGTAATTATAGTTTTCACCCATTTATGCGTTACACATTTCATGTTTTTTGTCCAAAAATATGATATGCATTTGCGAATTTTATTCTAAATTATAATAATTGTGTTGATTAAGACAATTAATTTTTGAAATATATATTTAAAAGAATTACACGCGAAGTCTCAGGTCAACAAACACATGGCTGGTCTCATTTTAAGTTCAGTTAAGAGATATTGAGCTTAAAATAGTGAACTTTCTGGAAACTTAAATATTTGCAAAAGACTTAGCAAAAAGAAGCGGAAAAACTGAAAGTCTCTTTTATCGCTCAACCGTTCATTAGAAAATAGTTCTTATCACCTATTCTTCATTCGTAAATACTCTGCAATGAGTTTTGCTGTCTTCCTGGACATATTTTCAACTTAATTGGATTGCAATTCTGAACTTGTCTTACATGTACAGTGTAAACTGTACATCGCCTTTGGGCCGTAGTAATATATGCTTGCGCGGATATGCTATATATGATACACAAAACGGGGCTTGCGATTGACTGCAAAATTTCTAATCATTTTCAGAAGCGATTATCTTTTCAACAATTTGATTTCTTGGACATGGATTTAGATAGCTCGGTGAAATGTATGCACTGAACATTGACCGTGTCTTGGCACAGGGAAAATTTTATTCAAACTTGATTAGATCGAATCTTTTTACAATCACTCTTCCACATTGAAATAGTCATTGAGAAGTGTTGCAATTTCCTGAGCGTTAACGTTTTAAATTGCTTTTCGAAATACGTAAGCCTTAGCCGCTTGTTGTGAAATTAATGCATTTTTCGAATGCGGGATTGTTTGCACTTCACGAGGATTTCATTAACTACATGTATTAGAATTTGTAGAAATTCGTGATGGTTTAGGTAGCAAATCTTTTGATTGATAGTATATTAGAGAGACGATTGGTGTTAGGACGAAAGCAAAAGAAAGTTTCATTTAATTTTCAGTAGTGTTAAGGGGACTTTCATATAAAATCTACTTGAAAAATTTGTTGCGCTCGTTATATGTCTTATCTATAATATATGCAATTGAATAATGTTTTTCTGCCCAACTTTTTCATTCAATTTGCCTTTGACCTTCGACCAATAGGCAAGAATCAAGGGCTATCAAGTCAGTGCTCGTGGGTTCAAATCGCCTGTGCATAGGAATATACTTTGACCGTAACTTTAATAAATGCCTACCGATTGGGCATACACCCACTAGACCGCTTGCCTATCCCTTTCTCTTTTCGCGCTTCTTTCTACCTTGTTACACTTATAGGCGACTACATCTCTTAAACGATTCGTCCGATTAAAAAAAGAAAAAGCTAAAAATATGTGAAAAATGATTCTTCGCTATTCTTTGACTTTTCATCGTAGCAGCGTCCTCGTATATCTAGTAGACATTCTAAATTATCGTTTAGCAGCTGCCCTTTAAATATTAGATGGAATTGTATGAAGCGTCCATTCAGATTTCATTGTTTGATTGTTTTAAGTGAGAAAAATTAGTCAAGTTGATATTGGAATCATCTGATACTGATCATCTTCTACATTTTTTTCAGCTGCTAAATAAGGCTCTTTTAGATTTTACAGGTATTCATCGAAAAGGAATCAATGTTGAAGAGTATGTACTTAACATTGAAGTAACTACCATTTCAGCTTGATTTCATCTAAAATGTAGGCTAACTTCCAAGGTTTAGTTTTTCGCATTGAAATAAATTTTGAAAAGTTCCTCAACAAGGAAGTGATCATCAAGATGGAGTATTTTGAACAGTTACATGCATTCCTGCAATTCTTTTACAACTTTCTGAGCGTTGATTCAGAAGAAAACAAAACTCATTGCAAGTTAAGTTCGGCCCTAAAATAGTTACTTATATATATAATTATATGTACAATTCAACTTTCTAACAATTTGCTTATATAATTTAATAAATTTGATTTTGCTTTAGGCAAACAAAACAATTTAAAACAGTTCAAGATTTATTGGAAGGTATTCGGTTTTAGTCTCAATGTCATTTAAGCGACCTTGACAAACCATAAATTGTATCGAAAAAGGAAAACAAAAAGCGCTATGTGCGAATAAAATATAGAAGTAAAACTCAAATACGTTGTTAACGTATTAACGAAATCATATTCAAGATGATTAATTATGAAATAATTTCTATGCTAAGCACGCACACACATACATTGGAATTGATTAATTCAAAATATTCATTAATTTCTTCTCTTAAAATTATTTGCAATTTATTATAAATGAACTGAAAACAACAACAGAGTTATGTTATCAAGACATATATATATATATAGACATGAATGAATTTCTTGCAGGATCGCGATGAAGCCGATGAATTGGATAAGGCTGAGTTGGAACGTATTCAAAATGAAAATGCCCAGTATTCGTTTAATTCGCGTATAGAAGATCAAATCAATGACGGAAGCATTCAACGTGAAGAGACTCGTGATGGCACCAAAGTAACAGGCATGTATTCGTACAGCGATGGTTTCGTAATGCGTACCGTATACTACGAAGCTGATGAGAACGGTTATCGCGTTGTAAAAGAAGATACCCAGGATATTGGTGATGGACCGCAATTCAATGCCGAAGGTCAAGCTGATGTCGAGGGCTCATTAATTGGCAAATATTCCATTAAGCTGGATAAGGATGATCAGGAAAAACATTATAAAGATATTCATGCTTGAATTAATTTAATGAAAAAAAAAATTCTTACAAAAAGATTTCTAACATTTAGAAATCGAGACTGATGAATATGTTCTTAAGTTTTTTTCGTTCTTTTTCTATTTTTCTTTTTTTTTTTTTTTTTTGTTTATTGTGCCCGCACACATGTTAACGTGTATTTAACAATAATAAAAACACTAATAAATTGAAAAATGAAAATTAAAATAAAAAAAAAAAGACAAGTAAGCACAGTTATTCACTCGTTTTGGTAATAATATGCCAAAAATGCTAACATTATTTTTATTCAAAGGCATGCTTTCCATAAAAACTTATATATGGGGGAAGGTCCGACGTGAATTTTGCAAACTTAGTTTACTTCTTTAAAATTTTGTAATTTTTCAGTGTCCGTTATAAGAAACTAGAAATTGGACTTTCTCTTGATATAAGGGCTTGCGTTTCACAATAACTCCTACTTATGTTGGAGTCTAAAATATAGACCTATGTGATCCAAATTCCCTGCTGTAAATTTTTTTCTTCTACCAAATTGTTACTAAGCACGTTTTTCCGTAGAGCTTCTTACTATTCATGAGAAAGTTTATATGGGGTGGTGTCCAAGATATAGATCCATGCGGTTCAAATTTGATCGACTTACTTTTTATGTCCATCTTCTTATCATATAAAGATTAAGTTTTATGGGTAACGTTAAATAGCTTAAATAGTCGTTAAAAAAAGGGATCGATCCGAATTCGTTTTCAATAGTGTTCGTCCTTGAATCAAAATATTTCAAATGTTAGGATTTATACATGAACAGATATACCGTCAGATGGACAAACGGGCTGGCAAGTTTAGATCGATTCGGCAGGCGATTCCATTTGTTTAGTAGTAGGTCCAAGTTTATTACCTGCTTGCCCATATGTCTGTTCAGTATATCTTAATATTCTGCACGTAGCCTTGAACACTAGATTTACGAAAACCTGGCAATTTGACGGTAAATTTTGTGAATCGTTATAGTTGTGAAAATACAGATAAGAGGCTGAAATTTCGCACAGGCGTTTCCTTGATCAATTATGCAAATGAGATCTTAAACCAGGAGCAATCAATTCACAGACATGCCCAACAATGCAGAACGAACTAAAATAACGTCGGCAAACCGACAAGTTTTCCATATTTTCATCTATAATTCATTCATAATTCGTAATAATTTTTCTCTCTTGCTCTCATAGCATTTGGCTTTTTTTAGACAGGTTTCGCAAAAGAAAAAAGTCTTTAGTATGCTCCGTCTTTATGCATATAGAGTTTTTGGCTCGTGGATGTGCAAAAGCAGAATGGAACGAAATGGAAAATAACACACGTCTTCAAAGGTTGTTGTATTTACTGATATATGGTTGGTTTGTGTCCAAACTATCCTGCCCATGCATTGAAGAACCACTCGTACGGATAATTAATCTTTGTATGGTAAAAAAACCTAAACTTCAATATTTTTTAATGAAAACTCGTGCATAATAATAATTTGAGATAATCACAATAATCTTAACGAAATTGGCCAAAGTATATAGATCTAAGTTCTGGATCTACACTCACCTCCTATAAGGCTTCTAATGAAAAATAAGCCCTTATTTGCCAAACATGTTCAATTTTTGAGATTTAATAATGAAAAATGGTTCGTAAGAGTAATTTGATATAAAATTTGGATCAAATAGGTGTTTTACTTTGACTTAACCATGCCAAGAGGCTCTGATGAAAAGCAAACACTTCTGTTAAAACAAAGTCTAACTTGAAATTTTTTATGATGGAAGCAAATAGAAATTACTAAAATCTTGGATAGGTAAATTGAATTTGGTAAGCTTGGATCACGTTAATCAACTCTGAGCGAGCTTCAATATGAGGTCTTCCATAAGAACTATATTTTTGCATGGAAATAACGTATAATTTTTATTGCATCATCAGAAAAATGAAAGAATGCCTGCATTAAGCGAAGTGGTGTAGGGTGGAATTTTGAAACATCCACGCGTTTCGTTGTCGCTACTATTGCAGACTTTTACATATATATATACCATAGCGCATGTTCACTTAGAAGCGCGGAATTCGAAATGCTTTTGTTATGTAAACATTTGATATAGTGATACGTGTAATCGAGAAAACGTTAGCAGAATTTCTATCCACACGAACAATAAGAATGAAAGAGTAACCATTCAAATGGTTGCTACTGCTGTTATTGATAACAGATACGCAAAAAGTCCCTAAAATTCTACTAATCTGAGTTATGAACGAAATTTTGGAACATCCATGCATTTCGTTGTCTCTGCTACTATACACATATATATATGTATATATATTTATATATATATATATACCATAGCGCATATTCACGTAGAAGCACACAATTCGATATGCTTCTGTTATGTAAACCTTTAATACAGTGAGTCGTTTAATCAAAAAAACGTTAACAGAATTTTTATCCATGTGGACAATGAGAATGAAAGATTAAGCATTCGAATGGTTGCGTTACTACTGTTATTGATAGCAGAAACACTAATAATGCGTGAGACGTTACTAGCTCTTATTTTGATAAATATCTTTATACCATTACTTCTCTACCATTACTTCTCTATTATTTTGAAAACTATCTTAGCCACTCTTACCATTCAGTTTTCGTTGGTTCAGCGCCTTACTGTTTATTTCTGAGGTTCTCTTTATTTCTTCTTCTCTCTTCATTGTTACATTAACCCATTGACGTCAATAGAAACGACCTTTGTTTACATTATTTAAATCTGCTTGCCAGACTTTGACGCTTAAATTGGACGTAGCGAAGTCATTGCTCAGGCATGAGTAGCAAATGTATTTCTATTCGTTTGCGATCATTCCGTTTGGGCTGAAAACCCATAAAATCTTTGTTAGTCACATTTCTTTCTGCTCGCATTCATTGCTTTCAATGTCATCATCTTTAATTCCCATGCCTGCAAATCATGGTATATGAAAATTACACCTCCGGGGTGTCCGGGTAAAAGAATGAGGTCCTATGCACTGAAGCCTATTCCTTGAAATATTAACTCTCTCTCTCTCTATCTATCTATCTATCTATCTATCTCTCTGTCTCTCTCTATCCTTTTCTCTTTGTTTTGCTTCTCAACGCAAATGCTTACAACAAAATGAAAATTTTGCGAAAAATTTGCATTGCTGCAATGATCACTACGATACAATTCACGCCGTACGCTCAACTATACGTAAATCACATTTTGACTGTTAATGCTTTGAACGTCGAATTCAGTAGAGCATGCACGCAGACGAACGCATCACTAATGTAATCCTAAAAAATTGAGTAGACTAAGATGTGTGTGTACTCTGCCGAGAGTAAAAAAAAGTGGAATGGAAAATGGCAAGAGAATATCGCAATTATAACAGCGAACATAATATCATAATTTTGCCATATGTTGCATAAAATACATTTAATATATAATACCATCTGTCAACTTCGTCTTTAACGAGCCAACTTAAAACATAATAATCTAAATTTATATATGTAACCATGACGACAATTCTTAAAATTTGAAAACATATTACAGCAAAATAGTGCTTACGAAATAACCAGTAGTGCAGTAACCATCAATACACAAATATCTTACTTCGGTTTAACGAGAGGTGCACAAATGTGTGCATAAGGCCTTAACGGGTTAAAAAAAGTTCAATTTAAGTATTCGGCTTGCCTTATGTTAAGTCAACAAGTTTTTTATATGCACCACTGTAATCTGGAGGGAACACTCATTTTTCCATAATGTTTGCAACACCCGAAAGGAAGCTACAGAGACTCTATAAAGTACATATATATTCTTGATCAGCATTAAATTCTGAATTGATTAAGCCGTGTCTGCACCTCTGTGTGTCTGTGTGGTGTGTGTTGTTGACACTCTCCTGGGTCGGGTAGAAACATTGGTAGCTTGGTATTGCAGATGGGGAAACTCGGTTAGAGCACAAGCCCGCAAGGAAGCGTAAACTGAACGCAATCCCTTTTCTCTAAACGAAATCAATTATAAAAAATAACAGCCTGAAGTTTTTCACACTTTACTTTATGAGAAACTCTGCTATTTATGCGAGAAAATGGAAAAAGTCGGCCATGCTTATCAATCAAGAGGTAAACAAAGCAGAAAAATTAAGTCTATTTTGTACATTCGTCAAACGAAGAGCCAATAGATGATGGACCCTATGACTTCGTGGATTAATTTTTTCTTAATAACACCAGTGATATGAGTATCAAATAAAAGTACTTGGAGAGTAGAAGACGACAAGCTAATTATATTAATTCTAAATTCGTTCTGATGGGCGTCACAATGTGATGGATTCGTTTTTTCGTCAAAACACCGCCCATATGGGTATCAAATAAAAAGACTTGGAGAGTACAATGTGATGAGCTAAGTGTGTTAATTCTAAGTTAATTGCGGTGGACGTCACAACGTGGTTGCTTAACTTTTCTTAACAATACCTTTCAAGGGACGCCAAGAATGGTACTGGTGGTGGGTATCCGAGATTCAGCCCCAGCCGAATATAACTTTCTTGCTTGTTAATGTATGAAGAGAGAGAGAGAGAGAGAGAGAAAGAGAGAAAGAGGTATAATTCATATCTTCTTTTAATCATTCTCTTTGCTAATGTGTTTATAAACGAAACAGAAACTCAGAAACTTTTTAACTGTACTTAACAACGGACGAACGAATTTTTTTAAACTTTAAAAATTCATTGCTTGTCAAGATTGTTTAATTAATTTATTAACTTATTTAAGAGATAAAACAATAAGTAGGACAAAATTGATTCCCCAAAGCAGAAAAAAAGAAAAATTATGAACAATGAAGGCAAAAGAGAAAAAATTGGCATAGTTGGTAGGTAAGTATAAAGGAAATATTGTTTATTAAACGCAAGAGACATTTCTATGAGTATGCTTTTATTAAATGAATGAAAAGTGGCCTTATTGGACGTTCCTGGTCAATGCTATTTGCATCGGTTGGTTATCAAGTGATGCTTTATGACATTATGCCGGAACAGGTTAAAACAGCTTTAATGAATACCGAACAGGAATTGAAGAATTTGGAAGCGAAAGGCCTGCTACGTGGCAAACTGAGTGCTGCCAAACAATTTGACTGTTTAACGGGGACAAATGATTTGAAAACTTTAGCCAAGGATGCCATGTTTATACAGGAATGCATACCGGAGAGATTGGATATGAAGCAGTCCTTCTATAAACAACTTGATGAAATTGTTGAAGCGCATACAATAATATCGAGTTCCACCAGCACATTTTTACCATCATTATTTGCTAAAGACTTGAAACATAAGGAGAATGTAAGTACTCTAGCTCGATATTCAATCATGTTTTTAGATATGTGCATTTTTTCCTTTTGTATGAAATAGATAAGAAATTCGTTCAGTCTTAGTCAATATATAGAATTATAATTTTTCTTCATCAACCCCGACATTTAGATAACATCTTTTACTATCAAGTAATAAACATATATAGATATAATATATTTCCTCGTTTACATTATTATACTCTACACCACTTATGGCCACAAGGTAATCTAGCCGATATATATAGTTTGTGTTTGTGTTAAGTGTCCGCAATACTTAGGAGGACTTGAGATAGACCAAATTTTTAATATACCAATGAACACTTTCTGTATCGATCTAATGCTTGTCTGTCCGTCTGTCCCTCTGGTTTTTTTGCATTTAATCTACGCCGACGTCGTTGGATTGGAACGCTTTTTCCACCACTCCCCACTTGACGGCCTATTTGGAAAAGTCTTTGTTCTAGAATAATCGTATTCAACGAAGTAGCGTTGATTGTGAAAACACGCTCTAGTCAACAAACACTTAAAAATTTTTGCACGCATGTTTAACATGGCGGGTACCAAAAATTCGTTTCGAATGCAATCGTTATAAAATGTACTCATTGGAAATTATGTACAGACTATGAACAAGTACTAGATTCTTAGTCTAGGTATACTTTATGAAATATATACAAGTAACTGACTTATCTAAGGTTCCAAATTAACTTCATTACTGATTTGATCTCGTTAAAAGTTTCAATAAAATGAATTAGATCAAAATTCCCGGATGTACATCGTAGCATAGAGCGGGATAGACTTTTCAATGCAATGCACAAACCATATGAAAGAGTTATAAATTTCTAGACTATAGCTCAAAATGGCTTCTTATGGTCTAAACGATATCTGTAACAGTCAAGACAATGTCGCTAGTACGCTTACAGTAGTACAATACCTTACTATTGACCGAGGTATGAAAATCCATTTAACGAAATCGTTTCTTCACTCAAAGCTAAAAAGTTGCTTTACCTTGACTTTCTTAGTAAAACTTTCAAAAAACAGAGAGCAATATTCAATACATATATACCAAAAGGAACTCTCATCTTAAATGGAGCACCAGGATAAAATCAGAAACCTTCACGCTATTTTCACGCTTACAAAATATACAATCTGTTTCAAGGATACATATATATTCATAGCATCTATTAAAACTAAGCCAAGATAACTATTGACATCATATTAAATTTGCTTAAGTTTGATGTGAAATACTAGCGTTTAGATGATGATCCATTTCGAAGCCAGCTTTCGTCATTGAACTGCACAAATTGATTGTTGTCAGTCGCCAGTTTTGCTTCCAATGCCGTCCGATAAACCAATTAGTTGCAAAAGTATCGTTGGCTGGCTTTCTTAATTCACTTTAATCAAACTGTCGAGATAGGTCGATAACAGTTTGAATCAAAATTAAATATGCATTCGGTCAGTTCGAATTATAATATACGCTCCTCTGAATGTTTTCCATTGTAAGTTCATGAGCGGTAAGCGGTAATTCTTATTGATCTTAGCCATTGCTCATCCACATATTTCTTAAACTTGCGAAAACAGAAACAGAGATACAAAGCCAAGTTGCGTACCTATATATATAATCAAGTAATGTAATCCGTCAATCCGTTCATATACTTATAGCATTAGAAATATTTAAACAATATCGCAGATATAGTCAAAATATCTTATCATCTTTAGCTGATATTGATTCAAAATGTTAGATAATTGCTGATCAAGATACAAAAGCAAGAATGGAATCCTTAGCGCGCTCGGCTTTCATAAAGTAAGTACGATTTTCTTACTTATTTTCAATTGCAATCTTTCTTTGCTCTCTCTTTTGTTGTCCCATTCATTATTCATGCTCTTAATACCTGATAATAATTATCGATTTGATTGAATTTTACTTGCTAATGAAATAAATTAAACATATTTCACATACATGTATTATCAGCTCTTTCTTGACCTATCTTTCTCTGGCGTTATAAATATTATCTTGGCCAAGCATATGTAAGCGTGTACTAATTTTATCAAGGCGTTTGTCAAATCTAAATGTATGCATCAAAGGCGAGAAAAAACTTTTGTATATTTCGAATGACGGAATAATTTACCTATACATCCGATTGCAACTATGGTGCTGTATATCTATATATGGCTATCTATTTTCGGGCAACGAGCCTGACGAGTCCATAATCGCTAAAAGATCGTAACAGCTATAAAGGAAAAAAAAAAAAAAAAAAAAAAACAAATTAAAGATTTCAATATGTAACTATTCGCCTAAAAAAATTTTCGAAAAAAATTACGATTCTAAGAAGGCACAGTTACTTACACTTAAGGGAAGAGATGTTTTGCTAACTATTCTCACATTGTTCTTTCTCGTTCTTTTTTTAATATAATCAATAACTTATGGGATGTCCCCGCTTAGTGTAAGACAATGACGATGAGAAAGAAATGAGGAAAGGGAAAGAGATAAGGGAAATGATGGGCGGACGTCTAGCAGACATTCGATAAGTGTTATGGCTTTACCGATTGCGGATGTAATATGATTAAAGTAAGTACAGCGCGACCGCACTTGAGTTTTGAACTTGCGAACATTGACTTCTTAGTCGGTTTTCGTATTTACTCGGCTAGTTATGGGGGATTATAATGCAAAACAAAACTTCCAATCTATAATGTCCGATTCGTCCAAGTGCTTACTTGACGAGTCTCTAGGCCTAGTTATGGAATCTGATAGCTTGAATTGCTCAATTATTCGGGTTTTCGCAAACGTACTATTGACGTGCGCGGAACAGTTTTTTCCCTTAAAAAATACGCAAAATCCTGTACAAAAACGTTGTTGGTAAACCTTGATCGTGACATAACCTTAAAGATAACAAACTGATCTTTGATATGCACAAGTTTGAATACGATTTTATTGCAAAACATTAGTTTCGATGACATAATTTTTTTACACTTCCCATTACTTTCTCACTATTGAAGAAACTATAGTTCCCGTTGTGCACATTTATCGGAAACTTTTGATTTTCTATAGGTTAGGCATTAGGCAGCTATGACTCACACTACATTTATTTATTTTTTAATTTTTTTTTTTTTTCAGGTCTTAGTATCGCATCCGGTTAATCCGCCATACTATGTACCGTTAGTGGAAGTTGTACCTTCGCCGTGGACTAAAGCTGATGCGGTAGCAAAAACTCGGACTCTAATGGAGGAAATCGGTCAAAAGCCGGTAACGTTAAGTCGCGAAATTGAAGGTTTCGCTTTAAATCGCATACAATATGCGATAATCAATGAAGTATGGCGTTTAGTTGAAGCGGGCATATTAAATGTAAAGGATATAGATAGCGTTATGTCCGATGGTTTAGGTATGCGTTACGCTTTTTTGGGTCCTCTTGAGACTTGCCATTTAAATGCTGAGGGCATCACCAACTATTTGGAACGTTATTCAAAAACCATTCATTCGGTTAGCGAGACTATGGGTCCACCACCCATTATGGATGGAAGTGCTACAGCGACAGAGGTAGCTAAACAATTGGAAGATTTAGTACCGTTGGATAAGTTACCCGAAAGAAGATTATATCGTGATAATTGCTTAACCCAGCTAAGCGTATTAAAAGCGAACATAAATGGGAAAAAATAAATTGCATTTTTATTATAACGAATTATCAGAACATATTCAATTATATATACATATATATATATATATATATATATATATATATTTGACTTAGTACAATAGCAATGATTTTTTTCTGTTTTCCTGTTTTCTTTGTTTCCGTGTTTTGTTTTTCTTTTGTTCATTTATAAGAAAGCATTTTGTTATTTTGTGACAAATAAACGATTTTTGAACAGTGAAGAAGAAGAACATTTTTCTTTTCTTCAATTTTTTGTTATATGAACTTTATACGTTAAGTTATGGGGTAAAGAAAAATCGTGACTTTAAGTTGCTTGAACATTTTATTACACGGTTCTGGAAATAGGAACAAATGCATACATATATATATATATATATATATATATATATATATATATATA